AGAGAACTCTGCGCGACTGCAAAGCTGTGTATGACTTCTCTCCATGCATGAAATAAAGAATTCTTTGAAGCTACTCTCCGGTCTCCAGACATCTTTATTGGGTCCTGCCCCGTTTCCACTACCACAGTTTTTGGCGACGAGGATGGGATTAATGACTGCTCTTCTGACTCCAGTACCTGAAAGCACAGAACTGCGCGCACCAAAATAAGGTAAGAGAACTTTTATTCTCTCATTTGGCTGTGTTCTGTGGCTGGATGGTCTGAGTTGTGAAGCAGGTAATTAATCAAAGAATTAAAAGGGAACTAGCAGGCTCAAGTCAGAGACTGAGAGAGTGCTTTGTGTGTAGGGCTGAGGGTGATGTCCCTGTCCGTGTTATAGAGAGACGGCGTTCTCTGCTATTAATTTGTAGGACTGAGGGTGGCGTCCCTGTCCGTGGGACGGAGAGAAGACGTTCTCTGCCATCTAACTAAGTTGTGTCTACAGTAGGGCTGAGGGCGTTGTTCCCCGCCTGAGTGATAGGGAGACAGCGTTCTCTTCTATCAAAGTTTTATAAAGTCTACAATAGGGCATAGGGCGGCGTCCCTTGCCTGAGGAATAAGTGTGAATGTGTTTGAATGTACAAAGGCGAATTACTTAATGCATTGGTGTATAAAAGGTTGTTAGAGTTAAAACCACGGTGTGTTCCAGGTCTGTGTTATTTAGATTCATGGCAAGTGTCGCAGTACACTCTCCATAGTTTTGAGGGTCAGTATAAAACTGCAATAACCCTAGTGGTTGGAAAAGGGAAAGGTAGAATTGCAATAAAAGGACCAGGGGATTTTCCCCACGGGTTTACAACACAAGAGAAAGAAATTGTATGTGTGGCGGTGTTACAGGGACAATCCCTGATTTGGCAAAATTGTAAAGGTACATGGCAAGATTGTGTGAATTTGAGTAAAGCAAATCAGTGGTTTGGTACAATAAGGACATAAGTGTGTAAATAAATGTGAGGAGTTTCAGGTATTAAGTAAATTAACAAGTGAATCAGTGGGGACCGTGGCAGACGCTTGATGCACAATATAATACATGTATTGAGCACAAATTAAAAGATAAAACTAGAGACAAAATACTTTTGCATGTGTCAGGAGCAGACTCCTGGGGTTATCCAGAGATGTGGCCTGTCTATATTTTTTTTAAGTCTGCACGGTTAAAAGCAATCATGGGAGGTAAAAATAGCAAAAGTAAATCAAATAAATTAGATCCCCCTCCCAAAGGCAGTCTTCTTGAATTCTGTTTAAAACAATATCCCAGTGTAGACTGGCGTAAGCAGTTTAACTGCTGGAATCAAAGCACAGACGGGCGTTGGCCAACATGTGGTTTGTGGAATCTGACAGATTACCAGAAATTAAAAGAAAAATTAGAACATAGGTGGCTTAAGAATAAATCCCAACCAGGTGAAGAAGTTAGAATGCATCTGGTAGGACAGGCTGTGCTTTCACATAATCATGAAACTAAGCTCA